CAATTTGGATTGCGGTATTCATTTTCCAGAACTTCTTATACTAAATTGTATTTGTATTCCATACCAAGAAAATAATTAAATAATGTCACTGGACGTTTTTTAATAAAGGTAAAGCTTTTCTTCCTACGCTAAGAGAAATACTTTTCTGAGAACAATTTGGGTTGTAAAGTAAAGCAACTAGTGGGATTTTGGTCATAAAAGGCAGCAAATGAATGTGGAATGTTTTTTAAATGAAAATTTTATAACAATTTCCCCCCCGAATTAATATGAAATACGTATGAAAAATAAGTATGAAATGTCCCTTTTCTCTGTTAAGAGAACATCTGTGAAGAGTTGAACGTTATAACAAATATCTGGTTATTTTTGCTAGTACAAATCTTCATATTTCATTTCATAAAATTTCATCGTCCCTTGCTATAGTATCTTCATGCACCGTTTCGGGATCCCTAGACATTTCCTGCTTGTAGTATTATATCCAATTATCATAGCTCTGTTTCCTCCGACTATTACAGTCGTGTTAGTGCAATTAGCAGGCTGCTACTACATGTGCGTACACACAACCCCGGGGACCAAATTCCCAGATAATTACTCCCCCCGACTACGCCACCTGCGGCAGAAACTAATAACTTCCCCTCTAACGACGATGGGCAATTAACCTACTAGATTAAACCAGGTGTTAATTTTTCACACACTTCCATACCAAACATGTATTGTGAGACGAGGTATAAGAGGGACACGAGCTTTTACCTGTATTCTTATTCTTCTCTCCAACTTTCAATTATAATTTTGTAAATTCATTTTAACAGAAATTTGAAGAATGGGATATTTATAAGACATATTCGATTTGATTAAAAATGGGACAATATATTATATTGCATGGAAGTTTTTAATGCTGTCGACATGAAATTGGAACCGAAAATTTCAATTTCACAAAATTCTTATTACAGAAAATTTTCGTATATTTATTGCTGTAGCAATTATAACATATTTTCATGTTTCTACTACTTTGTTCCTTTCCTTCAAAATAATTGTTCAGAAGTTTACATCAAGTCGACTTCTTTTAGTTCGTCTGGCCTAATGGGCAGCGCGTGAAGGTCTCCATTCTTCAATTATTTACTCAATACGGTTTTTTCAATCCCCGAGAACAATATTTTAATCAGCCTCCAGTAAAAACAGTTACTTTCAGAGGATAGACAGCATGCTAAAAGTTTTATTTTAACACTAGCGCTGAAAGTGAGACGATGCTAAAATGTTTCGTTCGAAATTGCGAATGCAATAAAGAAAAATCAAATATCAATTTATACTCGGATCATAAATAACAATAATTCATATACCGTTCGGTTGGAAGTCAGTTTCAACTTATGCCCCATTAAATTCAATATCAAACTTAGAATACGAGTTTAGTGCAAATATGCACTTAGCTGACAACTTTAGACTTCAAAACCGCTGAGTCACACATTTATCTTGCAAACTACACAAGACATGTAACTCATAACATTTATCAAGTTATTCTGAAACTAGTGGTGCTATAGAATAGCACAGCTCTATTCTGCTGCCATCTATCGTCCCACAAAATACATTTTTTGAAATTTTCAAGAACATGGCGGTTAAGCGCAACAGTGTATTGGAAATGTGAAGCACTTTTTCACTGAAAAGTTTTGAGTTTTCGAAAAAATTCATTAGAAGTCATTTTAAACACATTAACTCACAATAGTTTCTACAAATTGCTAGAAATGTGAAATTTACGGCGTGAAAAATATTTAAAAGAATTAAAAAACAAAACAAAAAATATCTCGGAATAAACTTTTCGTCATATTAAAGACTGCAATTAGTACGATACGTTTGAAACGTTTGAATAAAAAATTGAACCCATTTTTGAGAAAGAGGCGTTTGAGCATGTCTGAAATTGCGAAATTTTGAGCAAGTTTTTACAAAAGACGGTAGTTTTGGAAAATCTTTATGTGACATTATTTAAAGCACATGGATTCATAAATATAATGTGAGCAAATGGTAGCAATAATAAATATTAAGGACATGAGAGACGAGTGAAAAAAAAAATTGTAATTTTCCAAAAAACAAAGAATGAAGCAATATGGCGTTTATGTCACTTCGTAGAGTGCAGTGGGCACAATCTCAACCGAAAGTTCAACGAAAATACTTGGAGCGGGTTTGAGAATTTCTTGTTTTTGTAATTTTTTAAAATTGCACAAATTGCATTTAACATTGCGCGAAAACTACTACAATTTTCAAAAAACGTACATGACCATAATGAAAGAACAAACTATGGACAACAAAAGTTATATAAAGAACATATCTCTATCTTTAATTTTGTTTTTTTCTTAAGACCTCGAAAAATTTCAAACTTTTGAAATTTTCGAATATTCAGAGTTAACCGTGAAAATTGGACCTATGCCTCATTTATAAGTGCATTTTACTCTATTCTTATAAGAAATTTAAAGAAACATTTGGAGCCATTTTCCAAAAAAACTTGAAAATGTCCCAAAGGTTTCATGTAAAGTATCTCGGATAACTAATGAATAATTTTAAAAGCATCGGTTCAGGCCAAATAAACAGGGGTTTATTCAATTTGGAAGATAATATTCGCATGGTTTAGGCGCTAGTGTTGTTCACATACACCAAATGGACGGACGGCCTGACGTTCGGACGGCCGGCCGGCCGGCCGGCCGGACAGAAAGACGGACGGACGGACGTTTTGAGAAAAATACTTTTTCGGTATCAGGGGACCTCAAAATGTGAATTTTTATCGAACTCTCGAAATCATTTTCCTCAGCATTACGTAACTTTCCACATACTACGTATATTACTCCGTACAATCGTACGTATATGGGAGAGTAAAAATGTACGGACCATAACCCACATTCAGCTGAGGATATTTCAGAATGCTCGTCCACAATATTCAGCTGTTTCCATCACCATCAACCATTCAATTTAAAAAATACAAGTCAAACACCCTATGCTAACAAATAAAAACAAAATAAATATTTGACTACCAACTATACAATTCTAGATTATCAAACATTAACTGAACCAACACAAAAAAGGAAATGTTTGCTGTGGTTTGGCGTCTCGGGGTAGAGTTTTCATGTTAAAACGTTACATTTTCGTGATTTGCAAGTTCATAATAAAAATAAATTTTAATCAAAATTGCATTATAGTTGCCCAGCTCATCCAGTTTCGGACATAGAAATTTGTATAAAAAGTTTAAAATAAAATACGTGATTATTTTTGATTTTTTTACAAAATTAGTTTTAATATTCGACATTCACGATAATAAAGTCGCTACAATTCATATTAATGCCGAAAAGATAATATAGTTCGAATTGACAGAGGCATATTCTATTATAGTTGTGAAAGGGAGAGATGGAAAAATGTAGTAAAAGGTACAGATGTCAGAATATTCCTACGTAATTTTAATAATTCCTATTAATATTCTAATATGCTTCTAATAACGCTACGATTCATGTTAATGCCGAAAAGATAATATAGTCATTCTTAGTGTTTCACCATACTCGCTTGTAGGCACATTGAAGTCATCAGAGTAGGGATTTTCTCTAATGATTTCAGAATATTCTGAAGAAAAAGATACGGATCACTTTTATAAGTTCTTAATGCACCCAGAACTCAGTTTGGTTGCTCATTAAACAAATAAAGTGTTTTTAGAGAAAAATCTTATATTTATTTGTATGGATCGGCAAAAAACGTTCATGTCCAATTACGAGAAAAAGACGCGTCGAATAAACACCTCATTTGTCTTCATTGATGAACTGGAGTGATCAAATCAGGAGTCACGAACAGATGGACGCACTAGCGGATAGGCTCAGGTTACCCGATTACTACATAAGGAAATAACCAAGTGATGTATCAAAAATGTAATACATGAAGTTATTCAAATTGACAGAGGCATATTCTATTATAGTTGTGAATGTTAGAGATGGATAAATGTAGTAAAAGCTCCAGATGTCAGAATATTACTACTTAATTTTAATAATTCCTATTAATATTCTAATATGCTTCTGATAAATATTGTTAAGAGAATACTATGAATTTGGAGTGGTTTACGTTGAATCATTTCCGAAAGTTATTACCAAGATTCTAAGCAAAGGATCAAACTACGTAAGGCTTTGCGAAATTATTTCAGAAAACTTGTACTACACGTATTACGCTCGCACTTCAACTTAGTCGTTTGGTAGACTCATTGTCACTAACTTGAAAAAAAAGGAAGGATTCATTAATATCTGTAGTAGAAAATGTATCAATTCAGATAGTACATCACAGGGCTCGCCGATTACTATTGTTTCTGACTTATTGTTACAATACTCTCTCTCTCTCTCTCTTTCTCTCTCCGTCTCCCTCTTCCCGTCTCCCTCTCTCCTACTCCCTCTCCCCATCTCTCTCACACACTCTCCGTCCCTCTCATACTCTCTCCGTCTCTCCCATACTCTCTCCGTCTTTCTTGCAATGCCTCTCACACTCGCTCCTTCTCTTTCACTCCCCGTCTCTCTCTCTTTCTTACTTCTCCGTGTCTCGTTCTCTCCGTCTCTCACACTCTCTCTGCCTCTTCCTTATTCTCTCCGTATCTGTCTGTATTTCTGCCTCCTATATCTCTCCCTGTCTGTCGCCTGACTGTTTGTCTACCTCTCTCTCTCTCTCTCTCTCTCTCTGTATCTCGCTCCCTTCATGAATATGTGTAACTGAAAAATCATGCATTTTTGGAATACAAACAAAATCGTGAAATAATTTTAGGGTTACTGCGACAAGTTATTTGAAATTTTGTTTTGTTGTGGTAATGTTTTTTTATTAACCTTAATTATTACAAACTTCTGAAGTTCTTTTAGATATCAATTGGAAAATGATCGCACATCTGATTGGTGTGGGGGACGAAGAGTTGAAGGTACTTGTAGATTATGAATGAGTATATTATTTAGTGGGTAAATATAATATAAAATAGAAACTCGAACTCACGTAACTCGGGTAGAATCTCTTCTGGGTTTTAATCACTCCTCTTTGCCACAACTCCTGTGATGCAGAGGAACTGGATATAGATTTGGATTCCATTCATCTGAAAGAAGTTGGATCACATATAAAAGTTTGGGTAATGATCTAAAAAGGGCATTTATTGTCCACAGTAAGTTTAGGGTATGTGCCTCTGTGTTACCTTGCAGAAAATTTCTACTGACGGAAAATGAGTAGTATCAAGATTCTTTACATATTATCGAGAAAATTGCAATAGTAAATTCATCCACATTTACATCGTGATGTGGCATGCATGGTACAGTCATATTGAAATAAAACAACCACTATTTTCCGACTAAATTGACTTATTTACTTTCATCCAAATCATTACAATTATATTTTTGCTAAATTCTTAGTGTTGCATGCACTCACGTACATAGCCATGTTCATGTTTATGGCACTTCCGCTATGATATTCTTCTAATAAAATATACTTACTTTTTAGTATTAAAAACATTAAATTACTGGCAAGAGTAATAATAATATTATTAATAATAATAATAATGATAATAAGTGGAAATCACTACAAAAAACACAAAAGAACCAAATAAAGAATGATGTAAGGTGGAAACTTTCTTGAAAGTTCAGTGACGGACCGGACGATAAACTTTAAGCTGCTCCTCGAATTGAGAGTTGCTTTTCCATTGGCGCGCGTCTACATAGTTGGAGAAGATGATATTCGAATACTTGATCCGTCTGGCGCATTTCCAAAATACCTAACGTTGTCCTCGCATTCCCTAATGCCCAGACGCCCCCCACTGGCCAGGAAGTAGTCGGTGGCCAGCAGCGCGTTGCTCATGCAAACACACCTGGCAAGCGAGACCCATTCCACGAGCGAGCTACGCACAGTTCATGCAATATCAATCAAGGCCCGATTGCGTAAACCTGCCATTATTACTTTCTAGAAAGTTCTCAACAACCTCGGTTCCGCGAAGTATGCAGGTTCAAACGACAAAGTTTTAAGTGGCACACTATCAGCGTTCATGTAACTTCATGCTGCAAGTGATTTTGATTATTTTCACTAGTACGATTGATTCCAACAGCTGGGGCAAACAAAATCTCTCAGGTGAATAGAAAACTTTTTGGAATTTAATTTAACTTTTATTCTCTTCTCTGTGGTAGTGGTACCTAGGTAGTACCTAAGCCCTGGTTACGAATCCCGCAAAAGGCATAAGCGTTCTCAGTTGCGTTATGGTAGAGAGTGCATTCCCATTACACTATATATTACCCCCTAACCTGAAACCTTCTCTAATTCATTTCCATTTCCCGGAAATTTGTGTGAGTGGGGGGAGTCGAGTAGTACGGGAGCGATTGATTGATTGATACTAGGAGCACACCAACTACTAATGGTTCATAAGTCCCAAGTAAGTGTAGTGAAGGTTTTGGCGGTGATTCCTTCCTGCTGGATGGTGAGATCCACTGACCTATACGGTTGCTTACGGAGGATTTCCACTTTCAGGTATCTCCCCTCAGCAGGGAACCGCCTACGTCTGGGCAAGCTGTAAGCTTCCGGATGATCTCTCGAGATGTGTGATAGAGTAGTGCACGTAAGTAAGTTAATGTGTAAAGGGATATGAAATAACTAGAAAAACGAAGGAAAGAGATGCAAATCGCAGTCCCTTTGTTAGGTTCTGCCCAGGTATTGATCACGATCAGGTAGAGATGCGATACGCGGTCCCTTTGTTAGGTTCTGTTCAAGTATTGATCGGAGGAACCACGGAAAACTGCTGATCAGTGCAGCCGATTGTTATCATTCTTCACCAGACAGCGTCAAAATTAGCTACCCAACTATTTACTTATGTCAAAAATCTTTCACTGTCGGAACTCGTATCCTAGGACCTTCAGATCAGAGTCGCTGCAGAGATAAAGGCAACGCCGGCTTTAAGCTAAACTCAGACGGTGGTTGTACCAGAGTTGAGTCACAATGACCAGCGCTTCCACGGAACTCCCTTACTACCAACCTGGAACAAGCATTGCTGGGCTCTCCAGGCTCATAGGTTTGGATAAATAGGTACTACATCCGACTCGCCCTTACAGTCCACTTGGTTACGACGAGAGAAGCCCGAGAAAGTACTCAGGCAGTTCATTGCTCCTGGAGCTACGCCCAAGCCGGTGGTTCTGCACACATCTGACGGAGTAGAAGACGACGTAAAGGTGGAAGGCATACATTTCACAAAGCCCCTGGATTGCTCATGGCTAGCGTTCTCGCTTCCCATTTCCAAGGGTCCAGGTTCCAATCCTGGAAGGGGGAATACATTTAAAGGTTTTCCGCAGTCTCAGTGACTAAGCCAACATAGAAGCTGCTGAGTAGGTGAATGTACGAATGAGACCGGATTCCGGGCCCGTCAGCCACTATGGTCATTAGTCCCGTATGTGCAGTACAAGTTATATTCCCGGATATGCCGGCGTTCCTTTCCGTTTGAAAAAGGAAGCCTTGTGGCGGGGCGCCGTTCCAGCAGGGACAATTCTTAAGCTCCCGTCTGGATTCCCGACATATATGGTAATGTCGATCATAGAAATGTGTTCGTGTGTGTTAGGGGAGAAGAAAAAACAAGAATGAGGAATGAAAAATCTCGCGTGGCCCGCTCCGGCATTAGTCTAATACTGATCGAAGAAAAGAATAGCAGACGAGGATAGCCGAGATCGCTATGACAGAAGAGCCATAGATGTCTTGTGCTTGAAGGGTCTTGCGCTTGAATCCCCCCGAGGACATGGATGTTTGTGAGTGTCCGTATACAGTATGCGAGTTTCTTTACTGTTACCCAAAAAAGCTATGGTAATCACATAAAGACGTACGAGTTAAAAAGTAGCACCCCTGAACAGATTTTACGGCATTTTATTTATAAATGAAGTAAAAAACAGCATGTGAATTTGTAATACATTTATACATATAATTCATCAAATTGACGAAACAAAATTGAGTTTTTCACAATTTTACGTTTGGATTCAATGTCAGTGTAATGATCTTTTATTTATCTAATTAATCGTATCTATGTAATTTTTATCAATTTTTAAAATTTAAAATTAGTATTCACGTATTCTTAAAAATGAGCTGAGAAATTGTGATATTACAGTTCTCATAATATTTATAGAAGTGCTATTTCATCCCCGAAACCACTGACACAGAGTTTAAGTACCGATGATTTCTCCTCCCACCATTCTCTCGAAATTCGAGCATGTTCACAACTCTTTTGTGGACGGCGCATTATAAAACCACCTGCCAGATATGACGAAATGTGAGAGGAATAAAATGAAGGTCCAGCTACTGGGTGTTATTTTCACACCAGCCACTTCACACATGATGAGTACATACTTTCACGCTAACAAGTAATTTTAGGGCTTCAGGGAGTTATTGTTCTTTTGTTCTCAGGGAGATCTCTCACGCAATTCCACCTTTACGGAAAAACCTTTGGTAACTGGGAAGAAAGCCTAACACTAATGCTCGCCTCTGAAGTATTATGTTCAAAGAACAAAGAAACTGCATCCTTATCTCCGCCATCTTTCTTTGAGACGCTCAGAGAAGTTTAGACAATGGTGAGTTTTTTCAATAAAGGGGAAGAAATAATGAGCAGGAATAGATTTTATTTCGGTCCCAGATAAAACAAGACCATGACAAATATATAGATCCTACTTATCTTGAAAAAAAAAAGTGCATTAAAACATCTGAAACCAAATAAGCCTATCTTTTAGCATCATCAAGATGATGACTGTGATAAGCTGAGTTCATTTCTTTCACGTGAAAATGATCAGTATTCCTAGAAATATAAATTCCCAATTTTCATCAAACTTCACAATGAACGGTAACAAAATGTGTAACCAACGTTTAAAAAATATAAAAATGAAATACTTGGAAATTCTTTTGCCCATCAAACCATTAAGATTAAAATATTTTGGCAAAAAATCCACTGACGGCCGTAACAATATTTTAATGTTAAACATAACTTTAACGTAACATATTTTTGTAAGAATTACCTTTGTGTATGACACTTCTTTATTAAACACATTTATTTTAGTATAAAGTATTATTATTTTAGTACTAGTATAAACAGTTCAATTCTTCAATAAAAAATAAAAATAGGCAACATTGTTTGAGTTAATTTTGACTTCTAAAGGACAGTCTTTAGGCATTATAATTAGCAATCTGATTTTGAGTTTCGTTCAGTCCTTCTACGGTAATCGCAATATGCTCAAGAGAAACGGACTACGAGTATCTCATCGCCCGTACTACATTATCTTCCTCCACCGGCCCTGCCTCATTTGAATACGCCGCCCGACCCGATTGAGCTCAGTATGACCCTCGCCCACCAGCCGTAACCTCCGGACGGATATCAGAGAACACCCGTCTTTAATACTCATACGAGGGCTCATTTCGACGTTAATAACTCGGCCTCATGAATGCGAACGCCACGCGCAACCACGTTAACCGCAGCTTAGTGCCCTGGAGACTCGAGTTTGCATTGGGCCTGCTCGCCCGAGGATCTCTGTAGGTTCAGAGAGATAGAGCCACTAGAAGCTCATTGTCAGGCTGAACGGTGTGCTGCGGCTTTTCCTAACGCGAAATGAACAACTTGCAGAAAGACAGTGGAGATGAGTTGATATAAACATGCTGCACAATCAAAAGGCAAAATTCTCTCAGCGTAATGCGCGGCAGGTATTCAGCTCTACCTCAGTAAAGATTGCGCTAAGGACGTTATGTGTAAATGCAAAGTACGAGACAATTTAAATAGGTAAAACGTTTTTTACAAAATTCTCTACACTTCTTTTACATTCTCAACATTATTGGATTCCTTATTCATTTTAATAACATGATATATTATTAATTCTTCTCTCCCTTCATCGTTAGGTTTAGTGAGACCAAAATCTAATATTGTTGGGTTAGAGTTCTGCGATCACACAATCAAAATTGATCTTGATATTTTGCACATTAATGAAAAATTAATAAGTGAAGAGAAGATCAAGAAATAAAATATGGGCAGAAATTACATATTAACTAATTTAATAATGAATACAGTAAATACTTTCATTTCAAATTTTGCAATAACCTAAT